GCGGGCTAGAGACAGGGCCGCAGCGAGGAGTGCTGCTCTGCTGGGCTCAGATGCTCAGGAGAGGGCAGCAGCGACAGGACCACAACTGGTGCCAACACACGGCCGCATCCACACAGCGAGACCAGGAGTCGGAGACTGGGCAGGACCGGGGCACAGGCAGGGATGTGTCTGACACACACAGTGGGAGACGTGGAGGGACACAACGGGGTGACGGTCTGGACGGGGTCATCAGGAAGCTGATAATGGCTGGCACAGAGTTGCAGGCTCCTGTTAAGCAGCAGCGAGAGTCCCAGGGGAAAGCTGCTCGTTAGAAGCTGACCGGGCCGGGTAGTCGGGGCGCTCCCTGTTCCCTGGTGCAAGCACTGAGCGCAGCCCCGGCTGTGCGGCAGCAGCCCCAGGCGACAGCCCTGCACGGACACACGACAGGGGCACAGCGGAGACCAGCAGCAGCAAGTCGCTCTGGGGTGAATCAGGAAATGCCCACGGGAGGTCCTGGAGGCAGTGACGGGCAGGGGCACGGGGCAGGGCCGGGGGTATAGAAACATGGCCTTGGCCCAGGAGGGGCATCTGGTCCTGGCGGCTGCAGAGTCAAGAGCTGCAGAGCAAGGGCAATGCCCAGCGCCTGGCTGGCACCGGGGCCGTCTTGGGGAAGGTGCCCAGAGCGCTCACAGCCCGAGAGGGGCGAGAACAGGGTCATATTGCCCAAGCAGGGCACACCATGCGGTGACAACTCTCGGGTAGGGACCCAGAGAGGGCCGAGAATAAATGTACCAGGGACAGCGAAGGAGCGGAGGCCAGGACGGGTGTAAAGGCCTGGTGTTGGGGTGGGGCGGCGTGCCCACCACAAGTGTTCAGTGGGGGCACATGTAAGGCATGGGCATGGCTGCACGGGAGGTTGGAGGCTGTCATTAGACCTAATGCTGATCGGTCTCTGGGACGGGAGCACTGACAGGTCTTGGGGGCTGCACAGCTGGGCAGGGTGGAGACCAGCAGGGCCCACGCACGTGGCCGCACAGCTCAGCTGCACATGACACGTCCCTGCCCTGCAACCCCACCATGTGAGTCTGGCTCTGGGAGGGCAGAGCAGCCACACCGCTTCCACCTCCCACCGCCCGGCTCTCCTAACGCTCCTGCTCTCTCCCCAGTTCAGCCACAGCTGTCCCAGATCCAGGTGTTGCCTGATGGGGATGCCCCGCAGGAAACGCGGTTTACCATCCGCATCGAGAACTTCTACCCCCAGCACATCCACGAGATCCGATGGAAAGTTGACGGAAAACCCTGGGAAAGGTCCGAGCCCAGCGAGATCAGCCCCAACCCGGACGGCACCTTCACGGCGACGAGCGTGTGGAGAGTGCCCAGCCGGAGCCTGACCGGCCCGGGGCTGCGAGTGCGAGTGTGCGTGCAGCACGGCCCCGGAGACCCCCCGGTGGAGAGAGAGCTATGCCTGGGGGATGCTGGTGAGGAGGGGGTTGCCCTGGGCTCAGGCCTCCCCACAGGGTCACTGAGCCAAGAGATGGAGGAGCTGTGTTTGGCGCTTCCCGGGCAGGAGCCTCACCCCACAGTCTGCTCTTCCCTCCAGGCCTCGCTGCCCCAACCACAGGGGCTGCAGTGCACGAGTCCCCCGCACCCTGCCCTCAACCATGAGTGACACCAGCCCCTGCCACCTCCCCTCTGGCGTCCCGCCTCGCTCAGGCCTGCCTTGGGCACATGCTTGGCTGGATGGTTTGGTGAGGGCTGAAGCTCCTGTGGGCAGGGGCTGGACAAGAGGACGCCTCAGGAGGTGCCTTCCCTCCCTACTTCCCCGTGATCCTGCCACAACTGGCTCCCAGGATAATTTTACCCAGTGCTGGGACACACGCAGACACATGATGGGAGAGCAGGGGCTGAGCACTGCCCTCAGGACCCTGGAGCCCCCCAGCCTCTCATGCCAGCAGGGCTCACCCCATGGTCTTAGCATCACCCCAGGAGTGTGTGGCTGGGGGCACAGGGCAGTGAGAGGATCCTGGTGTGAGCCAACCAGGAGGGGGAATCTCAGGGTCCTGACATGGGGGTCGGAGCTGGCATTATCTGCAGGGCGCAGCAAACCCCCTGTGCCGTCCCCCCACACCCCCCACACCCATCACATCGTGGAGACTGGGGCCACGGCTCTAAGGATGGGACCAGGATCGACACCCCTTCCTTTCCTGGGACCGGGTTTCCCAGCTCCCCGGGCGGCTGTGATGCTCCCCGGCACTGGTGGGACGCAGTGAAGGCTCAGGTCACCGTGCGGGGAGCGGAGCTGGGCACTGCGCTCAGCAGGGCTGGCCCTGCCGGGCACCGAGCACAAGGCACCCCACCCCTTGGGCCAGGCAGGAGTCCCCAGGGTGGGGGGTCCCAGGGACCCCTTGGACCCTGTCACCTGCTCCCTGCGGGGCTGTGCCCCCTCCTCTCCCCGCCCGCTAGAGGGGGCTGCATTTAGGAATGGGGCTGCCCCGACAGAGCTTGCTCATGAGCACTGGTGTCCCTGCTCAGTGCCTTAAGGCAGGGGTGGGCAATTATTTCACCTGGAGGCCTCTTAATGAGTTTTGGTGAGATGTCAAGTGCTGCACAGATAAAACTTTCAAAAGAAATCATTCTCACAAATTAGAAATAGAAAACAAATCAAGTACTAAAAATCAAACATCTACTTTAACATTTTAATTTTAGTGCAAAAAATTACTTATGCCTTGATTGATGTGTTTTGAGCAGTGTCTCTAGAGGTGATTGCATTATAGCTCCAAAGTAAGTCTTACTCCTGTATATTGTGTGTGGGGAGGTGGGTGTGGGTGGGGGCTTGCCCACATGTGTCGGGGGCTGCATGCATGTGTGTGGACGCGTGCCAGTCAACAGATGCCCAGCTACCTGGGGGAAAGCTGCAGAGAGCTGCTTCCCCTTGGTAAGAAGTTGAGGGCTGCACGTATAACTTTCAGAAATCATTTTAACAAGTTATAGATAGAAAACAAATAATTACTAAAATTTTGCTTAGCTTCTACTATGGATTGTAATAATTTTAGTTCAAGAAGTAATGATTGCCTTGACTGAAATGCTTTTAAGTAATGTCTATAGAGCTGATGATTGTATTATAGCTCCAAATAAATTCTCCCTCTTGTACAGTGCGTGTGGTGGGTGTCATGGTGTGTGTTGGGGGGGGGTATGTTGAGCAGTGAGTGCAGGTGCACAGGGGTGGTGCACACACGGGTGTTGAGGCATGCGTGTGCGCACAGTGGGCAGTAGATGCTCAGCTCCGCAGGGAAGCTGCAGCCAGGTGGCTCCTGCCCCAGTGCTCAGGGCTCTAGCCCCAGCTCCCTGGCAATGCCACAAGTGTGTGTGCTGAGGCTGCACTGGGGACACTAGTGAGGTGGCGCTGAGTGTGTCACTCTGCAGGTGTGTTGTTCCAGCTGTAGGTCGGGGCTGTTTGGTGGGGTCCCTCCTGGGTCCAGGGGCAGAAAGTGAGATGTAAATCTGTCCTGGGATCCTTATTTGGGGACAGGGCAGGAGGGAGGCTTTGTGTGTTGGGCAGCAAATCTGGGGATGTGTTTTTGGTGACTGGCTTAGGAAGAGAGGCTTTCTCCCCTGGTGCGATGGTGGGTGTGTTGTCGGGGCTATCTGTAGTTTCCTCTCTCACTGTAATGCTAGTAGGCATGGATTGTTTTTTACTGGGGAGGAGAGATGTTGCCCAAAATTTAGTTTCGGGTATTGCATTAAAGGAGATTTACAATACAGGCACAGAGACTTAGTGCACTCAGAGTATTTAATCTACTTAATACATATGACAGCAATACCCTCTAATAAAGAAATCGCACTTACATACCTGTGGTGTCAGAGCAGGGCCTGAGAGTGGATCAGGCTGCAAGGATGTGCCAGGACTCACGCACATGGACTTGTCATCTTGGCAGCAAGTCTGGCTGGTGTCTGTACTTTGTCTCCCACAGACACAGGCTGTGTCCAGACGAGCACTCAGCTGTGGTTCCCGGTGCCCCAGACTTCTCTGTGTGCCCTAAAGCACACGTGCCACACATGGAAGATGAGAGGGAGAAACCCCCCCAAGAGCACTGGGGGGAGACCTCATGGTAGAGCAGGGATGAAAAGGAAAGGGAAATATGAGAAGTGTCTGGCCCCACGGTGCAATGGTAGCATGTCTGACTCCAGATCAGCAAGGTGTGTGTTTAAATCACACTGGGGTCAAGTCACTCATCCTGAGTGGTTTGTGGGCTTCTGGGAGAGCCCCACGCCTCGTGGTGTTGTTCTTGCTGTGTGGATGGTGAGGCAGTGGGCAGGGACCACAGGGCTGTAGGTAGGTGACAGAGGGTGCAGCAATCCCCCTTGCACAGGTGACACTTGTGGAAGAAGGTGCGGCGAGACAGGAGCAAGGGGCAGTGGGTTTCAGCTGAGTTCACATCTCTGTACCTAGAGGCCAACTAATCGAATAGGGCCCATTTCGCACACCCCTACCAGACACCAGCATGATGACCCAGGCACCCCCAGCCCCTGCTTCCCTCCTGGAGACCCGAGGCACTCGGGCTCGTAGCCCCCCCCGATCCCTGGTGTCCTGTGCTCGCAGAGTGCCTGAAGGGCAAGGTGGGCCTGGCCTTCCTGTTTGACAGCTACAACAGCATGAACGAGCAGCAGTTCAGCCTCATCCGCAAATTCATGGTGGAGGTGATGGAGAAACAAAAGAACAGCACCATCCATGGGCATGCCGGATGCCTGGGTCCTTGGGGAGGGAGGGGGCTGGGAGCCGGGACGCCTGGGTTCCCTGGCTGCTCTGATGCCCCCATCCCCTCCAGTTCGCCGCGGTGCAGTTCTCCTTGGACGTGCAGACAGAGTTTGACTTCACAAACTACACGCAAAACCCCAATCCCCAGGAACTGCTGAGGGATGTGAAGCACATGAAGGTGCTGACAGACACCTTCAAGGCCATCAAACACCTGGTGTGAGTGCCTCACCAGCCCCTGGCACCACCCCAGAGCTGGATGCAGCTCCATTACATCTGGTCCAAATGCTGGCCACAGCTCCATTATGTCTGGCGCCCACCCCAGAGTCAGCCACAGCTGTTACACCCAGCCCCTGATGCCCGCCCCAGTGCCAGCTGCATCCTCCCAGCCCCAGGCAAGGGTCCATGTGTAACCTCTGCCTCTTCCCCCAGCAACAACGACAAGAACGAGACCCTCCACCCCACCCCATCAACATCATCGCCAAGGGGTGAGAGAGCCCGATCCCCTCAGACCCCTGCCCACCCCCAGAGAGAACCCAGACGTCAGCTCCCAGCCCCACTGCTCTCGACCAGGTCTGGCCCCGAGAGCTGCCCTGACCCCCTGGCCAGTCTCACGAGGTGTCCCAGCCTGCTGGGGTGCCAGGCTGCCCTTGGTCTCAGCTCCTGCTCCCCCAGTCGTGTGTCCCTGCCCGCCCCCAGCGAACCCAGGCATCCAGGCCCCTCCTCACCCCCCACCCCCCGCCCTGCAGGCTC